CTCTCTCTCTCTCTCTCTCTCTCTCTCTCTCTCTCTCTCTCTCTCTTACTCCCTTCGATCGCGGCTTTCTCTCTCCGTCTCGCTTCTCGACTTCTCGTCCTTTCTTCTCGCTCTCTGTCGTCTCTCTTCCTCTCCGTCTCGCGACGTCCTCCTCCCCCCTCTATCATCCTCTTCCTCGCTCCTTGGCTCTCCGTCGTTCCCTCTCGTTCTATCATTGCCCTCCCCCCTTTCTCTCTGTCTCTCTTCCTCTCTACATCTATCTCTGCCCTCCTCCTCCTCCTCCCCTTTCTCTTTTCCTTTCTCTACCGCCCTCTTGCTCGAGGAGGGCGCGATGGGGCGCGCTCGCTACTTGTGCATCGTTCGTGAACGACCATCTCGAGACCGGAGTCGATCTTCGACTCGAGAAATCTCTTTCATTCGGCGATCCAAGCTCTTTTTCTCTCTTTTTTCTTTTCCTCTTTTTTTTTAAATCGATTTCTTCAGCCGCGATTTTAAAGTCGAGAAACGGGACCGAGCGACACGTTGCGACGACGTCCTGCGTCCGCATTAAAAATTAAGGTCAAGTGCACCACTCGAGACCGATTGTGTCGATGTGTTTATCGTCGTAAAGTTATCCCAGCGTTTGATCGCGAGTACGTGCGCGCGTGCGCGGTCTCGCGTAACGCGGTTAATACGAAGATAATGTACGCGGGTATTTGTGACACGCAGGAAAAATCGGCGAGACCGCGTGATTCAGGTCGATCGCAAGTAGGCACACGTACGTGCACGCGGAGAGTGACGTTCGGGGCCAAAGGACTCGGAAGTTACGACATCCGGCGCACAATACCGCCGCTTCCTGCCGCCGCGCGACCTTTGATCCCACGTGATGCCACCTCGTTCGCATGTGATTTCGAACGACGCGCCGCAAGCGAAACCGGTCGATCGACGAGCGAAAAACCGGCGGTAATCGTGCGACGATCGGCTGGAAGAGGCCGCGTGTACGCAATTTACGCAAACCTCGGAGACTAGGGAAGAAAATGATAGCCGTTACCGCGAAATTTTGTGCGTTTAAGCGGCTGAGAAAAGTCGGGAAACGGTGGCGACAAGCTTGTTGATTTACCGTGTCGTCGAATTACAACCCAATGTGAAATAAGATTACATGGGACACGTAACGGAACGCGCGGAAGGGTTGTCGAAGGGGAACGTCTTCTTTGATCCCGAAAGTCGCGGCTTTTCACACCCACGGCGGGAAGGCAAAG